CCAAGAGCAAGTTTGCTGCTGTTGAGCTAGAGCTTGTAATGGGCGGTGCCCGTGGTCTGTCTCCTTCCCCCCTAAGTGGTCTGCTGTCCCCACTTTAAAATCACTGGGCCAGTTCCTGGAACTGTGATTCCCATCCCTCAAGCCTTGTAAGATGCACTTCCAACAGCAATGCCTCTTGAACCCACAGCTTTAGAAGATGCCAGAGCTGCACGTTTTGAGGTCCCTCTCCTCTCCAAATGGGCAAACTGGAGGGCAGAGAGGGGCTCAAGGTCTCAGAGGCAGCAGATGGCAGAAGCAGAAGCTAGGTCTCCTGGGCCTCAGTATTTCCTGAGTATCTTGCACGTACGAGAGGAGGAGCCTGACACAGCTGTGTTCACCTCTTTACTCTGTTCTTACTGTGCTGACCCAATGGATGTGCCCACCATGAACTTGAGTTCATTGGCACTAGCGCAAGCTGAAGGTATGGGAGTGGCCTTTGGTCTTTTCCTATATTGTTTTGTTTCTGAGCCTTACTCTCCTCATCTAAAAAATGGGGATTAACTAATATTGGTGCACAAGGCTGTTGTGAAGGTCAAAAGATGTAGCATGGGAAAGTGCTTAGTGTTTGTCCCCTGGTGGGGGGGCAGTTCTGTAGGTCCCCATCCTTAGGAGGATATAGAGACTTAATCATCTTAGTGGCTCCAGTGTGTGGCACAGTGCAGGTGTTCAGGGAATGTCTGCTGAATGAACGAATAAATGAGTGAATGAATGAATGAGTGAATGAATGTAATTTGGAGATCATGGCAGGTCCTTGGTCTTCCATTTTTCTGATGTGCTTGCATTGTCTCATAGAATCTTTACTCAAGTCATACTTATTCATTAATTCAATTGACCAGCTAAATAACAGTTATTATGTGACTGTTTTATGTAAAACTGCTTTTAATGATATTGATTACTAATAATAGCTAATAATTCTGAGCTCTTAAGATCCTAAGAATTGTGCTTAGTATTTTTCAAACACTGCATCATTAATCTTCACACCAGTCCACAGAGGGGATGTATCAGCCAGCTACTGCCGCAATAATGCTGTGTAACAAAACTCCAATGTTCAGTGACTTACAACAAGCATTTTGCCCCCTTGCTCATGTGTCTGTAGGTCAGCTGAGGCAGTTCTGAGTCCAGTTGTAGGTGGGGTAACTTGGCTCTAGGCTGCAAGTTGAGTTGGGGTCTGCTTCATGTGTGTTTACTATGGAGCCTTGCTGGAAGAGGCAGCAGCTTCTTGGGATATGTTCTTCTCATTATGGATCCAGAGCAAAAGAGAGCATGCCCAGCCCTGCAACACATGTCAAACTTCTGATTCGGTCACATTCTTTAAACTCTCATTGTCTAAAGCAAGTTGTATGGCTGAGTCCAAAGTCAAGGGATGGGGGCATATGTTCCATACACTATGAGGCTGTGACAAGGATGTAGAAGTGTAATGCCCTCCATGGGGTCAATAATTCAATCGACTGCTAGTAGGGGCTATTATAAGCCCCAAATTGAGGCACAAAAGGGAAAAGTGTCTTGCCCAAAGTCATTCAGTAGTAGGTGTCAGAAGTAGGATTTGAACCCAGACAATTTACTTCCAGAATTACGGAAGCCTAAGTGTGCATATAGGGAGGGGGTATTGGTTTTCTTAAATTACCTGCATTCTCCCCACCCCATTAGTTGCCAGTGTCACATTGGCACCAGCCTCACTCACGGTTACACATCCATCCGTCCATCCATCCACACATTTGTACATGTCTGGCATTTGGATGTTCTCTCAGCTCTCCAGAATAACAGACTCAAGGGCAATTCTTGGGTAATTTTTTGAAACTCAAGTTAAGGAAAAAATCACTCTCCAGTTAATCTGTGGCATGTGTATAAATACCTTTAGAAAGTCCCTGGTGGAATTCGTATCAAAGTGGCACCGTGATTTTACTTAAAAACAATTTGCTCCCTGTCAACTGTGATTTCTGACACCCGAATCTGAAAGTGATCTGGGTGGGCCTTGAGCCATCTCCACGACGGAGTGATGTGTTTATTTGGAGGGAGGAGAGGAAAGACGGAGGTATGTGTGGCCGTGGAATAATGTTCCCCACACCCTTACAGGAGGGGATTTCCTTCTCTGTGTTTCCACAGAACCTTCCCTGTGTTTGTTTAAACCCATTGCACACTCTGGTCTGACAGCTGCCTGGCCCAGGGCCTTCCCTGCAGACGCATGCACAACCAACCCTCTTTAACAGCACCCTGCACTGTGTCCCCTGGTGCAATTACTTGAGTATATAAACCTCACTGAAAGGCAGGCTTTTCTTGGGAGCTAATAAATAAGCCCCAAAGCCACAACGTGTTTAAGACCTTGAAAAATGGCATCATCATCTATTGGGAATTGTGAACCCTGCAAAAAGCAGCTCATTGTATTTTCAGAAAAAGGTTTTTGTTTAAAAAAATAATAATGAACAAAAACCACCAAGTGGCGTCTATATGGAAAAAGCAATCTAGTCTTAGATTCTAAGGCTGGTCTTTTTGCTACATTAATCTTTCTGCGTGGATTTTATGTAAGAGGCATTATTTGCAGGAAAACAAGATACAGTTTTGAAGACTTCCCCTCTCATCCCCTCTTCCCATCTGCAGTTATAATCCTCCAATTGTGACCTCTGCATTAGTTGCCATGGATGCTGAGTAAAAGGTTGGGACCTCAGGGTGGGGTATAGTTTCTGGGGGGTGAGATGAAGCCTCAAGCAATAAAAAATCACATTTTTCTACAAAGAGAGGAAAGGCACCCTCAGGAAGCATCCCTCAGTGGGGTGCCAGCTCTTGACACTTAGGGTGCACTCTCTTTCAGCTCCACGTTTGGTTGCTTTGAGGACAGGATGCTGGACTGTGGCCATGGGGACACGGGCAGGCAAAAGATTATGTGACTGAAGACAAGGTTGCTTTTTTTTTCTTTCTGTCTCTTGGACCTGTTCCTGAGAGGCTGGGCTTGGTGCTCCAAGCGCCCCTCGAGTCCAGTCTTCCAGAATTCGAAGTGTCTTTTCGTTAATTGATGGTATCTTCAGACAAGAGGCCAGGAGTCGACTCCTGGTGCTGCTTCCTCGAACACCCCAGGTGGTTTCCTGGAGCAGCCACCCCTGGGCCACTGTGGCTGGGCTCGGGGACCCGCTGAGCCTTCCCTCACTGTGGAAGCAAACAGGCTGGGGCGAAGAGCCGAGGAGAGCCTTCTTGAGATGCAAAAATACAACAGAGGGCGCAGAACCCACCAACGCCGTGGCCTTGAATATCAATGTATGGGCTGGCTCCAGACCGCCAAGTTCATTAAAAATGTCTCTGGCGGGGTGTCATAGGCAGACTTAAGGGGTTTCGATTTGCTTTCTATTTGGAATCACAGCATCACACAGACCGTGTTTACTTGGAAGGGGAGGGGGCGGGAACCAAACCCACCGCTCGGCGCACACGCCTTGATCGCACATTCCAGACTCGAGCTGATGTGTGTCAGCGCGACATGGGGCGGGGGGAGGGCTCTCTTCGGATGTTTCATTCGTTATACGCACGTCACTCCCAAACTTTTCCTCCCTGCGCTCGGGGAGCCAGGTTGACGCGCCCTGGATGCGGGGCTCCAGGCGCGGGGCTGGGCGCGCTCCCGCGGAGCCGGAGCCGCAGAGGCTCCCGGGCTGGACTCG